TTGCGACCGTGGACACTTTCCAAGGCCACGGTGACGAGGATGACGAGGATGACGACTAGGAGGCCGAGGAGCGTGGTTATGATGAGCTTGCTGAGTTTCAGGACGCTCCTTCGACTGAGCCTACGCAGGTTGCAGGAACGAGAAGACGTCGTCCGCCTTGCAAGTACACTTCAGGCACCGACGCTCTTGGCCACAAGGGTAAGGGTAAGACTAGGAGGCAGTGACGACGACTTGTAGGTTAAGACTATGCTACCAACTTAGATTCGATGCCACAACTATTTGGGTTGCATGGACTTTGTTTATTTTGCATGTGTGGAGATTTAGCAAGTATGTAGTTACTTTTCGGTAACTATTTGGGACTGTATGGACATTGTTGACTATTTGGACTATGCAGGACATGTTATATTGATTGTGATGTTCGATGTGGTTGTATTGTGCTCTTTGGACGATTAAATGTTTGGATTATATAAGGATGTCTCTATTTGTAACCGTGGATGCTCCTGAAACAAGGGAAATTTTTGTGATTTTTTTTCGTGAATCATTAATTATTTTACCCTGCTAAAAAGACACAAATATAGTACACAGATAAAATGTAAATTCATCAGAACGTGTATAGTCAAATCGTATCATACAGACTCTTTGCAGATGAATTAGGCTTTTTAGTAACAATAAATGAATCTACAGCCTGTTGGCTGATTCATATCGTTGCTGGTTCGTGAAGAAGTACTGCTGGCTGGTTTGTGTGAGAAAAATACTGTTTCGGCTAGAAATTTACGATCGTTTATGATAAGCCACAGCCAAATGAACAGGCTGCTAGACTTTTCAGACAATGAAAATAGACTTTTCAGTTACAAGGACAAGTAGTACGATGAGAGCAGCGATTTATCACTTCACGTACATAGTACACCTATAGCATCTAGGGTTTTTAGTAAAAGCGAATAAATCTAGACTTTTTCGATAATGAAAATAGACTTTTTAGTTATAAGGACGAGGAGTACGATAACAACAGCGATTTATCACTTCACTTACATAGTACATCTATAGGATGGTGTCTCCAGGGGTCGATCGACTACTAGGGTTGCCCACGCCCTAGAGGCTCGCCTTGGGCCCAACCTTGACCAGATGCTTCTTATCACCTCTCCAACATCCATGGCATGTGTATTTCAGAAGAATTGTACATATAGGAAGGCATACAAGGAAGTACAACTCCACTCCATCTCCACCATCCATCTTATGACTGTTTGATCCAAGGGCTAAGGTGAAGAGACACACGGATCGTTGACATGACATATTGAGAGGCCTCCATTCCTTCTCTCAACCTATAAATAACCCCTCACTCCCTCTCATTCACACACAACAAGAAAGAAGAGCACTCCTCAGTATTTTCTTTCGTTGACAGTATCAATGTCTGGAGGGTCGTCCAGAGGAAGAGGAAAGAGGAATGGAACTATCATTATGTGGAAGGATTCTCTTGGTCCCGATTTCTTTGAGGAAGCTCTTTATGAGAGGTTCCCAGTTGAGATCAAAAGTGATTTCACCAAAGAGGCACCACTGAGAGAATATAATGAACAGAAAGAATAGTGGCTAAAATGCATGCATGGTGAGGGCTGCCTAGTGTAGATGTTCACCGAGGGAATAGATGGAGGTCGTTGTTTCTTCAAATGCTCGCGAGCATGGGTAATTACTATAACCAATTGTTTCTTCAATATGTTCCTCTTCTATACAACTTACATGATATACTTATTGCAGTCTTCCTTGGCCGAAGAAAACTATGGGTTCACTAGGTGGGTCGATCCTCGATCTATTTATCCGTATGCGGAGTACATCTAATACTTGCAGGACCATATTTTCGATCTAGAAAGGGAAGTTAGCAGCGGTTACAAGGACGACGAACATGACGACAACAACAATGGTGGCAGTTCACAACACACTCTGCAATAATCCATATTGCACCTGCCCTAATCACACAAACAAGGATCCTCCGCCGCCACCCCCGCCGCCACCACCACCAACAATGGGAGGATACTGTGGAAAAGGTGCAACACAATTTGCTATGTGACCACACTACTAGGACAAACCAATCTTTTTAACGGGCCACATCCATGTGTTTGTTTTTTTTGTTTAATCACCTAAGGCATATTAGAGTTAGTCTAAGAAAATATATACCATTGTTTGGCACATGTTCTTACATGCCATTTCATGTGCTTGTTGTTTGCTTCAATTACCTAAAGAATGTTAGGTTTACTCTAGGACCTCTGTACCCTAATTTGGTATATGTTATCATATGCCATTTCATGTGTTGTGTGTATTTAATTAGGTAATTCACTATTTCGTTACGATTTATTTGCACTACGTGAGCTCGTTTCACTATCTATGCAATATTAAACTCAATATTATGACAACAAATAATGAAACCAACAACACTATGAAAGGTCCTATAATAGAGCATATTAATCAACATAACAACATTTGAAATACATGACGACAAACTAAAAGTGCATTACATGACAACACAAATGCATAGTCCAAGATTAGACAACATTGTTCATGAATAAACCATAGAACTAGCAAGTCATGAAGACTATTGAGTGCAATGAGGCCACTTTTCCTTCCTCTAGGCATCGGGATTCTCCTCCATCGCTGCTTTCGCTCGGAGTGCACGCTCAAGCTTCCTCTCGCTCTCCTCCTTGTGCGAAGCAACACGCCTCCTTTCCTCCTCTTCCTTGTGCTCCTTTTCTAGAGCCTTCTCTCTGCGTCTCTTCTCCATCATCTCCTTGTCCTCTGCCTCCCACCTTAAAAGTTTCTGCATCCACTCTTTGTCTTCCGGCTTGATCTCAGTGTCGATCCACTACTCAAAATCACAGAGCAGTGGAGGGGTCTGCAACAAATACAATTGTCACAAAACAAATAAATCATGCAAGACTTCATTTGACAAAAAATAATTATTATACAACATCAATTTCTCACTATCTTGTTAATGCGGCGCTGATGAAGTGTAGGCTCAAACGCAAAATTGGCACACATCCAATACCTCTGCCTATACGTGTCCTCTTCATCGGACTTGGCTACCTTACAAGGATCGCCGCAAAAGCACATGGGCACTGGAACACCACTAGGCAGAGGCAACGGGTCGAAGGCATTTCCGGTTATCCGGCCATAACTACAATTGAACCAAATTTGTTCTAAGAACCGAAAGCAATAAACATTAAACCCTAAACCTAGGGTTTTCTATTTGTTGCATATAAACGAAAACATAATATAACTAGATGATAAAAGATTACCTTGGCTTACTAGCTTTACCATGCCTTGGCATCCTACCGTTACATAATACAAAAAATAAAAAATCACTTCAAACATTAGGTAATAACGTATCATGGTTGCAAAATAGACGTAATATATATCAAATCAATGCGTAAAAAATAATAAGGGGAAGAGGATACCTTGCTCACGAAGATGTATGGATCAAATCCAAGTATCCAAGGTCAAATTCATCGATTCAAGAGATTGGGCGAGTTAGGGAGAGGAAGAAACCGAGAGGGAGGAGGAAGAAATGAGAGCAGCCTCGGCAAGGGAAACTTAGCCGTGGGTTTTGAATCCATGCTCGGCGCCAGAATACATGGCGCCGAGGTCGGCGCCAAGATCTATGGCGCCGATGTCGGCGCCATGAACTCTGGCGCCGAGCATCTAACCACGTCAACGCCACCTAGGATGCCCTGCTGTGCACGGACAGGCACCTCGGAGTCAAGATCTGTGGCGCCGAGACGTGTTACATCGGCGCCATGAGTCCTGGCGCCGACCCCCAGGGTCCAAAGATGAGTTTACGTCTCCCGGGGCCAAACGTAAATTTTCTTAAAAAAGGCCAAATTATAAAAAATTGGGGTGGTGTGCACTCCACTGTTACGTTCTCCAATTGATTTTGAACCAGTGTTCTTAAGTCGTTGGCCTAGTTGTTGCCTAGGTGAGAAGGCGCTAAGCCAAAAGAGGGAGAGAAGGAAGGAGGGACTGTGCAGAAGAAAGAAATAGAATGAGGGGAACGAGCAGTCAGGAAATTCTCCCTCAGCATTTCTCATCCTCGCTGGCTCCAGCCCAGTCACCAGCCGATCTCTCGGTCTGCTTTGGAAGGGGTCGGTGATGGACCTCCATCTGGATAGAAGTAGGCCATTAGGGAGGGAGGGTGATTCAATGACGTGTGGGTTACGGAGCTGTGTAGGTGCTTATGGGCAGCGGGGCTCATCACATTTTCTCTTGCTGCGCTTTGTTATGCTTCGTTCTGGGTTGTCGGTGGTGTCAGTGATTGGGAGGCAGCGTCCAGTGGATGTCATAGGGAGCTAGGGCATATGAGGGGGCAGTGGAGGGTATGGGCATGCTTGGATATGGCTTTAGTTGATTGGTGTGCTGACTGCTTGTGGCTGTGGCCCATCGATGCTCCTATTTATCCTTCTCTTACATCTTATATTTTTGTGTATGGCATCTGCTTTACTGCCTCACCTAAGCTCCTAGGTGATAAGAAGGGGTAGGTCACTGCAGATCGCTTTACTGCCTTAAGAACAACGTTTAAACTGTATGATCAATGAAATCTTATGGCTTGATTTCAAAGTTGGAGATGCCATTCCGCCACTTTCTCTTAGACACCCACCATCAGTCCATCCTATGAATGGGATCTGAGGCTTGAAGTTAGTCCTGATATTCTACGATCATCTCCTTTGTCCAGAAATCCCTGTATATATAGTAGCATGCATTCCACATGCACATAGATAGCAAGTCACTTAAGCTTATGGCATCAATAGGTGGGGTTTGTAGAATTCCCTTAAAAGTTAAAATATTATTTCATTATCATTTTTTGGGTTACGCCATTTCTTATATGTATTTGTATGCTTCAGTGTTCACCTAAACTCTAAACACTCGGTCACCCATCGTTTTAGCCAGATATTGGGCAAAACAACCGTTTAATTAGGCCGACAACATACATTCTGTATTGACTTTTGGTTTTCCTCTTTCAGACATGTCTGGTGATTGATTTGACAAATACCACCTGGTATTATTCACCAGCAGAATGGACGAGTCAAGGTGCTAAGCATGTCAAGGTGAGATTGCTTAGCTTAAATGCTTTCTTGTTTCTCAAGGTCCCTTTTTCTTTACATGTTTTTGGATTAGATTCCATGCAAGGGGAGAGATGCTGTACCTGACAATGAATCTGTTAATGTGTTTGTCTATGAGGTACAGTCTATGGATACATATCTCTACAAAAGCAGTATATTTGACTCTGGATAGTATATATGCACATTTTGTTTTTTCCTTTTTTTTGGGGTGGGGGTTGTTGATGCGTTACTCTCAAAGAACTTCGTTTCCTCTTTCCCCTCTGGGCACCATAGCTTATGCTCCAAGTTTATTTATTGTACCTACCATTTTTAATGGCCGTATTCTGGATGCCTGGTCTGGCAGTTTGAGCTATGCATTAAGCAGATCGTCAAGGATAAGGCGTGCTTATCTGAATCTTAGAGATATAGTTGGATTGGAGATTGTTATGTTGTGGCTTGTTGGTTAAGTAGGTTATTGTTAGGAGATCTGTTGGTTTCGGTTTACTAGAGTTTGTGAGGTCGGTTGTAAGCTTGAATACGTTGTAACGGGCCAAATCTATATTTATAGAGTTGCTGATCAAGGAGATCAAGCACAAACATATCCATCGAGCTCTGTTGCGAGCCTCTTGTCATCGGCGACCACACTCCATCTCTTGCTATTCTGTTCCCATATCTTAATCGCACAAACTTGTTTTTATGATCGGTAGTGTGTGATGTTTACACTTTCCACCTTTTCTGTGTTCTGCTAGACTGCTACATGCTCATCGTGTTGCTAATTTCAGAGGGGCTTGCATCTTTTTTGCATTTTCATATTGTTGGATTCTCTACAATGAATTGATTTGGTCGTTGTTTATCAGTAACCTGGTCATTTCCTTTTGCCTCTGCTTTGGTGTAAATGGTATAGATAGTTTCCCAACTGTTGTTAATATCTCCGGTCAACCTTTTTTTTACTGCATAGAGCATAATGCCATGTTTTAAGAAAGCTTCCTGTAAACCATCTTTGTCAACAACTTTTGCTGTTCTTTCAGGCAATGATGTTCCTTGACCGACAAAAGCAAAAGAATCCTAAATATATGCTGATTCATTGTACCCATGGTCATAATCGTACAGGTTTCATGATTATTCATTACCTTATGCTTACACACATCTCTTGTGTTGCTGAGGTAGGTATACTAGGCCCCGAATGTTATTTGATTGACTCTATTCTTCAGTATTACATAACCATTTTTTTCTAGGCAATAAATATATTTGCTCAAAGGCGGCCACCTGGCATATACAAGAGGGACTACATTGAAGCTCTGTATTCATTTTACCATGAGGTCCCTGAGAATATGGTGATAGCATGCCCTCCAACACCAGAATGGAAGAGACCAGATGATCTTGATTTAAATGGCGAAGATAAGCAGGATGATGATGATGACAATGCTTATCTTAAACCATCTCATGTATGTGTTTTCTTCAAAGTTTATAGGGAATTATCAGTTCTACTTAAGTTCAAGGGATTGAGTTAAATATTTGCTTGTGTCCTTGATATCTCATTGTATGGTTTCCTTGCTAAGCAATGTCGATTGCATTGTTTCTTAATAACTTGACACCACAATATGTTTGCAGAATGAATCAGAGGATAAAATCATCACCAATGACGATGTGTTAGGGGACGCCGTGCCATATGACCAGCAAAAAGCTTTGCGTGACTTATGTTATCTGTTGCTTGAAATGCCCATTGTAAGTATGCTATTTCTACATCTACCCAATATATTATGTAATTAATTTCCAGCTCTTCATAATGGCATTGTTGTATATATGCTTTACAATGATAACATGGACTATGATAACCATTTGTAGAATATAGTTCTAATACCACCAATCCCTTCTTCGGCAACTATTTCATTTCTGGGAGCATCAGTTAAAAGTTAGCATTGAGCAGATGCATGAATGTTTCATCTCATGCAATGCGGGCTGAGAATGTGACATAGTTTGGCATTCTGGAATCTTACAAGTCAAGGCTCAGAAATGGTATTTTGGAAATGCTGGGAACTAATAGAATTTGTTCGTGATTAAACCTGTTTCAGTGTGTAGATATATCATGTTCTCTATCCATTCCATTTGAGTTGGTTTGTGTTTTGTAACTCAATTTCTGCATGTGTTGCTCTCAAACAAGTAGTGCCTTTTTATTTAGGGGTGCTCTGATCATCTTTATTTGTATGTAGGGAAGAGGTCCACAATTTCCTGGATCACATCCAGTTTCTCTTAACAGGCAACTAACATTAACAGTAACTCAAATTTCTCTCACATCATTTTTGTGCATTCTGGTATTCTTTATTCCTATAGGTTATATATAAAGGGCTTGTTGCAAATAGAAAATCTTGTAAGGCACTATCAGTACATGCTGATTTTTATGAAGTAAAGAAAAACCCTAGGGCTTAGGCAGATGGATGCATTAAATCAGCTTAAAGTATTGCATCATGCAGGGATTTTTGGAATTGTTACACTTATTATGGGTTCTTTGTGATCCATTGCTGTTTTTTTTTTGGCAAAGTTTCTAGTTCCAGAGCATTAAAAGTGCTGTTCTTTATTTATATGTCCTAATTTTAGTTCATATGCTCAACATATATCCTTTTTTATCTAATGCACTCGTTTGACTTTGTTCAGTGATAATCTGCAACTACTTAGACAGAGATACTACTTTGCTACATGGAAAGCTGACGGAACACGATATATGATGCTTATTATGAGATATGGCTGTTTCTTAATTGATCGGAATTTTTGTTTTAGAAGGGTCCAAATGCGCTTTCCCCATAGGAGCCTCGAAGTTAGGATCCGATTGTGCTGGACTAAAATCATAGAACATGACTTTTAATGCAAAACTTTTAACCTTATTTCTTTTGCTATAAAGGGCCTGCATGACAGGACCTTGATTGATGATGGAGAGATGATTATAGACATGGTACCAGATTCAGGCTTGAAGAGAAGGTACTTGGCATATGATCTTATGGCACTTGATCTTATGCATGATATGACCTTGATGTATAAAATTTTGTTATTTACTTATTTCTGATTTGCTCTTTTATCTATGAAACCTTGGTGGCCTTGTAATAATGAAAAGAGATGTAATAAGCATCCTTTCTGAATTATTTCTTGGTGGCCGCCCTCTATCTCCACCATCAACGTTTTGTTCTCATCTTTGCCCTGTTCATGTTTGGTTAGTCACCTTTTTCCTCCATATGATTAGTAGATGGGCCTACAAAGTTCATGTTGCCACACGATTCATAAACTGTATCGAGGGTGTAACTTCCGTTTCTGTATGCGAGCTCCATTCTACTGTAGAGTGACCTGCTTTAAAAAAAAATACTCTAGGGCGATAGAAACACAGATTATTATGGCTTGAGATTATCTTTAACTATGGAAATTTGTGTATGCAGTTGCCGTTTTCTGAAAGATGGAAAATGCTGGAAGATGAAATAATACGACCATGTTATCATGAGAAAAAAGCAGTTTGAGAGTGGTGCTAAGAGCAATCCGCTGTACAAATATGACATGGAATTATTTTCGGTATTGGATTCTAGTACTTCTCAATTATGATATTCAACTCATGAGTCCTGCAAAGCCAGTTTTCTTTTTATTTTTGTTGATTATATGACATTACCAGGTTAGGAGAAAGGATTTTTGGTTGCTCTCCACAGTGAAAAAGGTGCTTAAGGTGTTTATTCCATCGCTCTGCCATGACGCTGATGGCCTTATATTTCAGGTAATATTTGTTTTCTGTTTGTTTATTATGATATGAGGATGGTAAGGCATGTTGTTTGCTTTATATGGATCATTTTTCAAGTTGTTCCATAAAGGTTGATAAAAGAGATTTGAAAGTTTAGGATATACCTAGAGATCTATGTTTTAATAGGAGTGCTTGGAAATCAGCTATTGAAGTGTTTGAACCGTGACTAGGGGCTCTTGGTGGGTTTTAACTCTAGCCTACCCCAACTTGCTTGGGACTGACATGCTTTTGTTGTTGTTGTTGTTCCATAAAGGTTGATCTATCTTTATTTGGCTGCAATCTAATTAGCAAATGTGAATATGTGATGATTCTGGTCTTGTGTGCAACCGGGACTCAACAGGACACGTTGAATGATTTTGGGAATACTTATTTTATTGTAGGAATGAGCCTGATAATGGTCAATTTTTAGTGCTGTTTGTATTTGATAGACAATAGCCTAACAGGCTTAGATTCCTTGAATTAAGTTTACAGAAGAGATTACATATATAAAGAGAGGAGGAGGGTGACCCAAAGGGCCAGCCGAGTCCCAAGAGGTCAGCCGAACTCCAAGGGGCCAGCTGGGCATTAACTCAGCACAGCTAGCTAGGAGATTACACAAGTAACTAGGTGATTAAAGTAAATATCAATTAATTCTAACACCTCCCCGCAGTTAGATCGTCGGTGGAGCGAACGTTTAGACTGGAGCGAAAATCCATGAAGACAGAGGAAGGGAGCCCCTTGGTGAAGACATCGGCGAATTGCGACGTGGTGGGCACATGAAGAACCCGGACTGCACCCATGGCGACACGTTCATGGACGAAGTGAAGGTCGATTTCCACATGCTTGGTGCGCTGATGTTGAACGGGGTTGGTGGAGAGGTAGCAGGCGCTGACATTGTCGCAGTAGATGAGGCATGCGGAGTCCAGGGGATGGTGAAGTTCCTGGAGCAGTTGCCACAACCAAGTGGCTTCAGCGACGCCGTTGGCAACAGCTCGGTACTCTGCCTCGGCGCTGGACCGGGAGACAGTGGGCTGCCACTTGGAGGACCAGGAGACCAGTCTGCCCCCGAGGAAGACGGCGTAGTCAGAGGTGGAGCGGCGGGTGTCCGGGCAGCCGGCCCAATCAGCGTCGGTGTAGACACGGAGCTGTGTTGGGGCTGTTCGAGGAATGACCAGACCATGGCTGAGGGTGCCCTGAAGATAGCGAAGGATCCGCTTGGCATCGACAAGGTGAGTTTCCCGCGGATCATGCATATGAAGGCACACTTGTTGGACGGCATAGGCAATGTCGGGCCTGGTGAAGGTGAGGTACTGGAGGGCACCCACAAGGCTGCGATAAGAAGTGGGATCAGCAACAGACGGGCCGGCATCAGCTGGTACCTTTGCACAAGTGTCAATTGGAGTGGAGCAAGGCTTGCAGTCACTTATGCCATGGCGAGCAAGTATGTCCAGAGTGTACTGACGCTGTGAAAGGAGAACAGAATCCCTGTGGCGCTGAACTGCAACGCCAAGGAAGTGATGTAGGGGGTCCAAGATCTTTCATGGTGAACTCCTTTTTCAGAGCAGCAATGACACGGTGAAGGAGTTGCTGAGATGAAGCCGTAAGGACAATGTCATCCACATATAAGAGCAAGTAGACTGTCTCGGTGCCACGGCTGAATATGAAGAGAGATGTGTCTGACTTGGCTTCAGTGAACCCCAGAGAGATCAGAAAGGAGGCAAAGCGGCTGTACCAGGCCCGCGGGGCTTGCTTCAAGCCATAGAGGGATTTGTTGAGTCTACAGACATGATCTGGAAGTGCAGGATCAGCGAACCCAGTAAGCTGAGAGCAGTCTACTATTTCTGAAAGAGTCCCGTGGAGGAAAGCGTTCTTCACGTCATGTTGATGAATCGGCCAATCCCTGGAGTGTGCCACCGTGATGACAATCCGAACAGTGGCTGGCTTGACAACCGGGCTGAAAGTTTCATCATAATCAACACGGGGCGTTGAGTGAATCCTCGAAGTACCCAACGAGCCTTGTATCTCTCCAATGAGCCATCAACATGGAACTTGTGTTTGAAAATCCATTTTCCAGTAACAACATTGGCCTTGGTGGGGCGAGGGATGAGGTCCCAGGTGTGGTTGTCCTGAAGAGCCGCATATTCATCTTCCATGGCCTGGCGCCAATGAGGATCAGCAAGGACATCTCGACAGGACCGCGGTAGGGGAGACAAGGCCTCGGTATGCAAGGCTAGGCGAGGCTGCCGGTAGCCTGTTTTTCCACGGGTCGCCATGCCGTGGGAGTTGGCGACCGGCGGAATGGAAACAACACCAGCAGGAATCGGAGGATCGCTCTTGACATAGCGAGGTGGAGAGGGGACCATGCTGGAACGTCGAGGAGGCGCTCTTGCCGGGCGCTTGGGTGGCGGGGCAGGAGCAGGAGCACGCCTGCTATAGACATGAATAATAGGCGGCTTCTGAGGCGCAATCACCGGGGGAGGGGGGAGCACCGGCTGTAGACGTGGACGACGGGTGGAGCCGGCGCCTGTATAGGGGGCGCCTGTACAGAGGACGCCGGGGACCCCCTGGACACAGCCGGTGGTGCCGGGGTGGAAGGCGCTGGCAGCACCGGGGCCCTGGACGCCGACGTGCCTGCGCGTGCCAGAGATGGTGCCAGAGGCACCAACTGGAAGGGGGCAGCAGCGCCGGGTGTACCTGCAGGAAGGGGAGACACTGGAATGGTGTCGTCGTCAGTGAGAAAATCAAGTTCCTGCTGAGGAGGGGATGGCCGGCTGAGGGAAAAAGGAAACGTTGTTTCGTCGAAAACAACGTGGCGAGAAATGATGACGCGGTTGGTGTTGAGGTCGAGACACCGATAGCCCTTGTGATCCGGTGAATAACCAAGGAAAGCACAGAGGGTGGAGCGGGGGGCAAGCTTGTGAGGAGTGGTGGCAGAAAGGTTGGGGTAGCATGTGCACCCGAAGGCACGAAGATCATGATAGGAGGGGAGGGTGCCATGGAGGGCGAAAAAGGGGGTGCTCATGTTTAGAGTTTTGGTGGGAAGGCGATTGATGAGATAGGTGGCAGTGGCTAGAGCATCAGCCTAGTAAGTGGGGGGCATGGAAGCTTGGAAGAGGAGGGTGCGTGTGATGTTATTGACGGTGCGGATCATGCGCTCGGCTTTCCCGTTTTGCTGGGAAGTATAGGGGCACGACATGCGGAGAGTGATGCCGTGAGCAAGAAAGAAAGCACGAGAGGCGGAGTTGTCAAACTCGCGACCGTTGTCACATTGGACTGATTTAATGGTGCAGACGAATTGGGTAGACACATGGGCGAAGAAATTAGAAATCGTGGGGAATGTATCGGACTTAGCGTGAAGGGGAAAAGTCCAGAGGAAATGAGAGCAATCATCAAGAATAACTAAATAATATTTGAAACCAGAGACACTAACAACAGGAGATGTCCACAGGTCACAATGGATTAAATCAAAATTCTTGGCTGCTCTAGATAGCAAAATAGAAAAAGGGAGACGAATATGACGCCCAAGCTGACAGGCGTGGCGGAGGGAGTCATCTTCAGGCTTGCTGCAGACAATGGAGGAGGACTGTGCAAGGGACTGAAGAGTGGCCTTGTCGGGGTGACCGAGGCACCTGTGCCAAGTAGTTGGTGAAGGAGTGGCGACAAGGGCGCAGGAGCCAGTGGTGGATGAAGGGAGCTGAAGAGTGTAGAGAGGCCCCGTGCTGTTACATCGGAGGAGGGTGTTCCGGGTACGGAGATCCTTCACAGAAACACCAAGAGGGTCAAACTCGACAGAAACACAATTGTCAGTAGTGAATTTTTGGACCGAAAGGAGATTTCTGATAATATCGGGAGCTACAAGGACATTGTAGAGGCAAAAGGGTCCAGGAAGGACAGAATAGCCGGTGCCAATAATAGGGAGGGTGGCCCCGTTGCCTACGACAATGGAGGAGGGAAAGGAAGAGAATGGTGTAGCGGTGACCATACCAGGGTTGGCGGTGATGTGGGAGGAGGCGCCCGAGTCGATCACCCAATCCGAGGAACTCGGTGCAGGCTGGACTGCGCGTGGTGGAGGGCCACGGGCGCCGCCGGCGATGGACCCTGGCCACATGTGGATAGAGCCGGTCCAGGGGTTGAGCAGCGAGGGCCACTGTGGTGTAGCTGGTGCAGTCCCGCCCTGTGCATTGCTGTGGGAGCCGCCAGAGCCGCGCCCGCCGCGGCGGCGTCGGCCACGGTTGCCACTGGATTGCTGTCCAGCAGCAGCATGATGGCCAGCAGTGACCTGATGATGGCGTGGAGGCGCAGGCGAGGACGAAGTGGGCGGCCCGATGGAGGGCGCGGTGACGAGAGCCGAAGGAGAGGCAGAGGGCGTCCCCATGTTGAGCTCGACCAAACGGAGGTCAGCACGAACATCGGCGAAGGACGGGAACGGCCTCTGGCGGGTGACGAGCTGGGACATGAACTGAAAACGTTCACTGAGACCCCGTAGAACGTTCAGCACCAGAGTTCGGTCCTGGATGGGCTCGCCGAGGTCGGCAAGGGCATCTTTATTTTGCCATGCTCTTTATTTTGCTGCAGTAGTCATCGATGGAGAGGGCACCTTGGTAGAGAGTGCGAAACTCGGCGTCGAGGAGCATGGCGCGGGACTCGCGATTGTTGAGGAACTGCTGTTCAATCCCGAGCCATGCTGTCCGGGCGGTGAGGCCGTCATGCTCATGGATGACGTCCAGGAGGTCGGCGGAGATGGTGTTGAAAAGCTAAGAGAGGACGACACAGTCCATGCGTGACCACGCCGGATTGTAGGGGCGGGAGTCGTCGCTGAGGACGTGATCCTTCAAGTAGAAACGACCAAGGATGAGGAGGAGGTAGCCGCGCTACTTGGAGTAGTTGGAGGATTGAAGATCAAGAACGATAGGGATGAGGTTCTTGATGTTCTGGACGGCAGCAGCTTGAGTGTGGAGGTGGGCGATGGCCGCTGCTTCAGAGGAGGCGGAGTGGACGTCGTCATCCTCAGGATCGGCGTCGTCGTCCGGATGCTCGGGGCGGAGGCGATCCCGGAGGCCAGCGCGCTCTTTGCTCCAGGTATCTGCTGCTGCTGCGCTCTTTGTCAAGAGCAGCAGCGGCGGCGCGGACACGCTCCTGGGCGGCGGCAGCGGACTTGAGAAGGGCAGCTTCTTCCTCGAGCTGCTGGCTGCGCTCTGTGTTGGTGGAGCGCAAAGAGGAGGCCTCATGCTCCAGGCGCTTGGCAGCAGAGAGGGCTTCGTGGCGGAGCTTCGTCGCGGTAGCCATGGCGGAGGAGCTAGAGGTGGCCATGGGCGCGCGCAGCAGCTGGGGTGGGTGGAGTGGGAGCGGAAGCAGAAGGATCGATGGTTTAGTCTGATACCATGATAGACAATAGCCTAACAGGCTTAGATTCCTTGAATTGAGTTTACAGAAGAGATTACATATATAAAGAGAGGAGGAGGGTGACCCAAAGGGCCAGCCGAACCCCAAGGGGCCAGCTGGGCATTAACTCAGCACAGCTAGCTAGGAGATTACACAAGTAACTAGGTGATTAAAGTAAATAGCAATTAATTCTAACAGTATTTCCAATGCACGGTGCTATGACATGTAAAACATACACATACTTATTTGTTAGTATAACTTTCATCTTTGTTGGCCTGACTTTGTAACGAGACATTTCTATTCCTGTGTTGGGGTGGGGGGGGGTGTTCTCATCATGGGTCATATGAGGTGTTTTGCTTGTGTGTACGTGTTCACTCATGGAGTTGTTGCCTACTTGTTTACTTGTTAAGACTTGTATATAGCTTAGAACATTTTGTTGTGGATGTGTAGAATCATGGACCAAATTTTGAATGGTGCTAGATATGGTACTGCTGTCTTGTGATCTTGAACATCCGTTGTAACTATGTATTCTGTGGGTTATTTACTAGCATTTTGGTTTTATTTGGCAGATATGTGTCAATTGTTCTTGCAGGGCTGGGATGATCCATATGTAACTCATACTCATGAAGGTCTTCTAAAATGGAAGTACCCTGAGATGAATTTTGTGGACTTTCTGTTTGAGGTCACCAATTTTAACTATTTGATTTAAATGGTTTAGTCATAGCGAAGATAATTTTTTGATATTGGTGATTTACTAATGCAGCTTACAAATGATCATCGTCAACTGATTTTCCTTTATGAGAGGAAAAAAGAAACTTATGGATGGTGCTCGGATATCATTTATTGGTAACGTGTATTTCAATTTTCATTTCGTTGTGTAGTCAGCTTATTTGTCTCCTTAAATGATGAAGTAATATTCCTTTAACAAATTTAAAACAAATTTATTTATAAGTGTATTATCTTATAACGGTATATATTTTAAATTTTCTTCTTTACTTTTTGTAAAAGTATCCTATTATATTTGTTGTATATATTTTAAATTTTCTTCTTTACTTTTTGTAAAAGTATCCTATTCTATTTGTTGTATATTTATTGTTGTTTTGAAACTTATACAGACGATGTAGATCTATCCTCTGTCGCTGGGAAGATTGTTGAGTGCTCCTGGAATAAGGAAGAGCAGTGTTGGGACCTGTATGCGTATTAGATCTGATAAATCGACTCCAAACGACATCAACACATACCTGAAGGCTAGTTGTCATACTCTTTCTGTTTTACTTTCTTTGTTAATTTATTTTCTTTTAGGGCATGTTTGGATCCCATGAATTGAAGCCAATATCTATAGCAAGTGTTTCACATTTCATTATTGAATTATTTTCCAATTCTTCTCAATTTCTTGGAACCAAATGGGGCCTTAAGAGTATTGCTGCATGTAAATCTCATCTTGATCTTTTCTGGAAAATTTAGTGTACTCATTTGAAATAGTTTTGCTGTTAGCACAAAATCATTTTCCAAAACACGGTAGGTCTGTAACATTGGATCATAGTATTTTGTTTTTATGGGTAGCTCTCCTTTCGAATTCCATTTTCTGCCTTCATAATCTTTTATGATCCTGCTTTCCAAGACGTTCACTAAAGCAATTCTCTCGAAGTCAGTTACAGCAGCCATGTTCTGTTCGCAGTTGAGCATCATTTTTTTTGCGGGTGGTTGAGCATCATATTTTGTCCATGTCGAAACAAGTACTCCGTATTTGGGTGGGAAAGCGAACAACTGCAGTATTGTCACAGTTTATTTGCATGTTCTGCAGGTGATGAGGAGTATCACAGATAACATTACCGAGGAAAAGCTTCTCGAAGAGATTGATGAGATAACACGCCTTCCAATGTATGCTCATAAAAAGATGGCTCAACAACGGCGGAGGTGAAGATTGGCACCATATATGGACATATGGTATAGCCTCTGTTGCTATAGTGCTGGAGCGCTCTCCTACACCTACTGCCTCCGTTGATGGCTGGATGGGTCCTGGGCAACCGACTAATTTCTTTGTTAGAAGTATAGATTTATACTACTAGGGATAGAGATAGAATCTTAGGTAATAGGTTTAGAATGCACTCTCTCGAAAATTAGATTCCAAATCAATCAATTATGTACAAAGCTTAAAGCTCTAGGACATGTATCGATCGGATTTATATATATAATAAACATAGCGTTAGTCTTAAGAGCAACTCAAATTATTCCAATTATTGTCCGCATGGTATAAGAGCTAAAATCCCGCACGAGCGGTGCATGCACATATCGAGCTCTCGTGGGAGCCGGAAGGTGATCTTCTCGGACTTTGGACGCACGTTCTTGTGGTCACGGCCGTGAATCAGAGATGGAAAAGAAGAGCGTTACTGGCGTCCAGATGTTTGACGGACTTCCGCGTCCGGACGTCCGTAGCGAGTGGACCGTGCAGATCTCAGCTTGCTCTGGGGCCACTACGCGAGCAAGCATCGCGTCGCGCTGCCGCCGGCCCGGGGCCACCACCTTTGTGGGCGTTTTGCGTGTTTGTCGGGTAGGGTTTCCCGCCGAGCTCGAACCACCACAGCGAGATGGAGGGAAAGAAAGGGAGGGGAGGGAGAGATGGAGGGAAGGAAAGGGAGGGGAGGGTGAGGCGCGCCGAGCGAGGAAGGCGCGAGGTAGGAGCCGAAGCCTTGCAACAGGCTGTTGTCCACCAGCCATTGGTGCCATTGCAACATGTGCAACATTCGATCTACCTTTAAAACATTTAGATGAAACATTTAAAATATACGTCTGAAGACAGATGAAACATTTACAACATGCGTCTGAAACGCTTGCACAAAACACATGAAACACTTGAAAACCTTCGCAACACGTACGCAACATCCAAATAAAACATTTGTAACATATGCGTGAAACATATGCAACTTTTAGATAAACACACATGCAACATACGTTTGAAAAAACAGATGAAACATTGGGGACAGATGTTTGCAACATAAGTGTACAACCATTGCAACATATGCAACATCTCGATCTACTTTTACAATATCCCTATGAAACCCTTGCAACATACCTCTAAAACAACTGAAAGACTAGAATATGGAACCCTTGAAACATACCTCTAAAATAATTAAAACACTCAAATATGAAACCGTTGCAACATACCTCTAAAATAACTGAAACACTCAAAACATAAGCTTGCAACATGTGCTTTCAGCACATTGTCACCTTGTTGATTGGACGAATGAAGCTCGTCCTTGTGGAGCTCGATGTTGGTGTGGAGCACGATGCCATGGAATGCTCGGAGGTCGCCGGTGCGGAGCTCGGCGGCGGCATGGATCTCAGCAGTGGCCACAGCAGGCTGATGGAGCACGGCCGTGATGGGAGTTGCGAGTTCGGACGGTGGGCGGGCAGCACGGCGCGGGTGGCGCAGCCAGAGTCTGTCCCGCGAGTGGGGGCGGCGCGGGCGAGCGGAGTCTGTCCCACGATGGCGGGGGGCGTGGGTGGGGGCGTCGCCGGCGAGCGGCACAGGCGGAGTTGAAAGGTCCTAATGGCTAGAGGGAGGATGAATAGCCTATAAAAATTTCTACAACAACACTTAAGCCAAGTGATTAGACAATTATGAAGCGAAACTAGTGTTGCGCTAGCCTACTCAAAATGCAAGCCTTCTATCCACAATTCTAGTTATCTATGATCTCTATAACACATAAGAGGCTAAGTCACTACCACTAAGTTAGTGATCTCTAAAAGGCTAACTAAAGAGCGTCACTAACCACTAGACAAGACACAAGCTAACTCTCAAAACTAATTACACTAAAAAGCTTAGCTACACTAAAAAAGTAAATGCACAAGAGAGGTAGGAGGGCTATACCGCCGTGGCAAGTGATCAATCATAATATATCAATGAATACCAAAGAAATCCTCGGAGACAAGATGACACAATGATTTTTCGCCGAGGTTCACTTGGTTGTCGGCAAGCTAGTCCTCATTGTGGCGATTCACCCACTTGGAGGTTCACACGCTAATAGGCATCACACGCCTAACCCGCAATCAAGTGCCGCACAACCAACACAAGATAGGGGTCACACAAGCCATGAGCAATCCACTAGAGTACCTTTTAGCTCTTCGCCAGGGAAAGGTCAAGAACCCCTCACAATCAAAATGATCAGAGCCGAAGACAATCACCTTTCTCCGCTCAACGATTCTCGCTTTACCAAGCCGTCTAAGTGGCGGCAACCATCAAGAGAGACAAGCGAAATCCACAGCGAAACACAATCACCAAGTACCTCTAGATGCAAACACTCAAGCAATGCATTTGGATTCACTCCCAATCTCACAAAGATGATGAATCAATAATGAAGATGAGTGGGAGGGCTTTGGCTTAGCTCACTAGGTTGCTATGTCAATGAAAATGGCCAAGAGAGTGAGTATGAGCCGACCATGGGGCTTAAATAGAAGCCTCCCACGAAATAAAGCCGTTGGCTCCCTGTCAATGCTGAAATCAGGGCGACCGGACGCGCTGGTCAAAGTGATCGGATGCACGCTCACCAGCGTCTGGTCCCCGATCGCCGTCCACGTGTCGCCCTGTTCAAACCAGCGTCGCCCGATCTCAACGGTCAACTCGCCTGCGCTTGCGCTTAAGTAGCGACCGGACGCACACGACACCGACCTGATGCGCCAATGCCGCGTTCGACCGAGCATGCACTCGCGCCAACTAAGCCAAAGAATAGACTCGCCACTCCACCACCTGACGCTGTGCCACCGCACGTCCGATCAGATCTAATAAGGGTCCAGAGGCGATTTTTCGTGACCTAACGCGACAGATCATGAGTGACCAGATGCACGACCGAGTCCGATCCTCTCTGCCTTAGCTACCAGCCCCACATCAGCGTACGTCAGCATGACCGAACGCACAAGCATCATGTCCGATCAAGTTTAGACTCTAGCGTCCGATCACACGCCGAGGCTGAGCCCTTCACTGCGCAACACTGACCGGACGCGCAGGTGCAGCGTCCAGTCCTGCGTCCGGTCAGCTCCAGTGACTTCCTCGACTTCACTAACGTCTCCACCCTTGCTCAAATGTGCTAACCACCAAGTGTATCTCCTTGTGCACGTGTGTTAGCATATTTTCACAACCATTTTCAAGAGTGTTAGCACTCACTAGAATCTAAATGCATATGCAATGAGTTAGAACATCTAGTGGCACTTTAATAACCGTATTTCGATACAAGTTTCACCCCTCTTAATAGTGTGGCTATCTATCCTAAATATGATCACACTCGCTAAGTGTCTCGATCAGCAAAACACAAAAGCTCTTATCAATTATACCTTTGCCTTGAGCTTTTTGTTTTCTCTTTCTTCTTTTCCAAGCCTAAGCACTTCATCACCATAGCCATCACCACCATCATGATCTTCATCATTTGCTCCACCACTTGAAATATGCTACCCTATCTCATGTTCACTTAGAGCAATGGGTTAGCACTAAGGGTTTCATCAATTCACCAAAATAAAACTAGAGCTTTTAATCTCCCCCTTTTTGATAATTGATGACAACCCTTTCACAAAGATATGAATTGAAATTCATTTGAATCCATGTTGCTTGCCGAAGCATATTTACCATGTGTAAAGGATTTGGACAAGTTTTCATGAACCCAAATTGATAGCATTAGCTCCCCCTACATATGTGCTAAGAGTTTGGATTGAAGCTTGCACATATGCATAGATTAGAGTTGTGGGAGAGTAATGTCTACCAAATGATGCTAAGGTATAAGAGATAGACCTTTAAAGCGTGATACCAATCGGAGTGCACTAAGTATACCATCCTTAGCACCATGGTTAGTTAGATAGCACTTGCAAAAGCCCAAACACTAGATACCTCATGAGATCAATATTAGAAGCAAGGCTCTAGTACCACTTGTGAAAATAAATACAAGTCACATCTAACTATTTTAGATCAAAGGCATTGCTTGGCTTTATTGAAAGCGTACCAAACCAATGATCATGCAGGGAATACCAGCTTACAATAGAGTTCAAAGTACTACTAAGAGAAATAATCCAGGTGTCAATGTTTCGTAAACCAGACTAGCGAATTAATACGATTGCCGCGCTGCTCTAGGAAGATGATGGTAGCATCCAAAAGACATGAGGATTTATATTGGTTCAGGCTAGAGCCCTATGTCCAGTCTTAGAGAAGATCGAGTACGTGTTCCTCACTTGAATGCTCTGAAGTTCTTACAATGGGGGGGTACAAGAATGGTGGAAGAGGAAGAAGAGCTAGAGCTAGGAGACGGACTGCCTGGAGAGAAGATCTAGGAGCCCTGCTATGATGGAGAATGAGTGAAATGGTAGAGGATGTGAATCATGTCGAGATGGGTGCCCTGGCTACCCTTAGATAGAGTTTGGGGCTAGGGCTCATACAAAGCAGTATGTTCTCCCGACCGAAGGGTCATGAGCCTGAGGAAGGGCCTAGCTAACTTAGCTTGCAAGCTATGCCATCTTGAGGTACACATCTGGCATGGTTGCCGTCATGGTTTTGTGGCCACATCACAACATGGTGTGGCGTGGTGCTACCGTGCTGGCCATGGCAGCACTGTAGGCACGTTGGTGGTTCGCCAGCCCTCCTGTGTGACATGGTCTTCCGCTGTGGTCTTCGTCATCGTCTCCTGGTTTCCTGGGGTGTCGTACAGGAGCTGGTAGCCACCCCCAAGTTGTTGATCACCTTGTTGTCTTAAGGAGCGGGAGGGCACAATCCCTATTGTTGGGGTAGTGGTTCTCGCCAGTCTGGGTGGCCTCTAAGTCAAGGCCCTTGTCGTGGATCTCATCCCGTAATGGGTAGGATCATACACTCATCTCGTTGGGCCGTATCTGGCCGGTGGTCATCGTACCTATCGTTCACCGCTTTGGGCGGTGTTGTCTTGTCTG